AGCAAGATTTATGCAAAGTGACAGCGCCATTCTCCTCTGACTTAGTTTACCTCTTTTGGGGCTTGAACAATATTTTTCTGAAGCATCAATTCAATTCAGTTCAGTTTATTACAGTCATAGACCAGAGACCAGAACAAATAAAAACACTCAACAAATGTACAATTAAAAATTCTAGTATAAAATAATAAATAAAGTATCAGATGAAAACTCAATAAGGAGTCTCCTTTAGTTCTCCCAAATGTGCTTTCAACATAGTGAATCCTGTTTTCTCACTGCCATAAATATTTCGTTATTATTATTGTTGTCAATTGATGTCATACTTTCCTGGCAATTATTAAGAATATCAAAGAGATTGTCCTGTCCTTATCTGCAGTTTATGGTGTCACTATCATGCCCTGATGGCCTCCAACTCTCCATTTATTTATTTATTTACTTATTTATTTATTGGTTCAATTTATATGCCACCCTTTTCTGGAGACTCAGGGTGGTTTACACTGCGTTAAGCAATAGCCTTTATACTTTTGTATATACCTGCTTAGTAGGGCTTTCGCCACCCCCCCCCCAGCGGTGTTCTTTTTTTTATATACAAAGTCAGCTTATTGCCCCCACAAACCGGGTCCTCATTTTACCTACCTCGAAAGGATGAAAGGCTGAGTCAACCTTGAGCCTGGTGAGATTTGAACTTGCAGTAATTGCAGGCAGCTGGTGTTACTTAACAGTGCTTTAGTCTGCTGCGCCACCAAGGCTCTTTTTGATCACATAGTATGGTCTTCATCTCATCCCTGGCCCATAAGTGAAAAGGGCTTAAAATATGAAGGATAAAGGTAGCCTTTTTCACCCTTAAGATGACACTTTTACATCACAGCTTCAAGATATATAATTTGTGATACTTTCCCACTTATTATCTGGGGAACAATCATGTCAGTTGACCTACAGTCATTGTGATCAGAGGTGCGTTTTGGATGAACATGAATATGTGACCCACACACACACACACAAAACACACTGAACCACTTTTGAAACCAACTTCTTTGTAGGCTTCCTACAATATAGAAGCAAGGAGGACACAGTACTCCGATTTTGTTTGGGGGGGGGAGGAGAAAGGGGATACATTTATGCAATTCCATATTAACAGTGCTTGAACATATATTAGCCTTATTTTATTTTGCTTTGTTACAGTTTCCAGAAAATAATGGAGAACGTTGAACTGAAATTTTAACACATAGCTTTCTCCAGCTTCCTTATAAGTGTCAGATTCAATCATACTCCCCTTCAAAAAAAGACAGGACTGTCTAGCAGCTAGTCAATTAGAGAAACTCTGCAGAAAATGTTTTCCTATGTGCTAGTTTATTTCACTTTTAATTTGAACGATTTCTAAGTAGGATGTAGGGCTGCCAAATCTGCCTAGAGAAACCCAGGCAGAGCTCTGAAGTCAACCCTGCTCAGCTGATATGGTGCTGAATGCCTTCTTCCCTGGCTGATGGGGTGCTGAAAGGGGAGGGCTGCCAATCCAGAAAGAGACAAGCCTTAACTGGAAGTGAATGACATCTCACAGATCAGGACAATGTCATCTGACACGATAGGAATTAGCAACAGGGACAACCGATTTTGCATCAGCCTGGTTTTGTGCCAGTGCAAAGAGGAGTGGATGGGACTTTAAGGTAATAATAGAGAAAGGCCCTATATGCCATTCGAAAAAGGGGATATAATAATTCTGGATACTAAACTTCGGACTAACTTTTCTCAAATTCTGGTTCATATGCAACACTATTAAACAGGGAGCATAGCACATTGTCACCTAGATTTCCTCCTGGCTGTCAATTTATCGGTCCCAAGTGAACGAAAAATGGATACAGCGTATATGTTTGTGTATGTGTATATTCCCTTCACATGACATACAATTAAGCTATGGAATTCAGTGTACTACAAATGAAGTAATGAATGTAGTATCAAATGAAGTATCACCACCCTGAAAGTTTAAAAGAAGAATAGGCTTGTCTATGAAGTAAAGCTACCCGAGGTTACTCATTAGTTTTATGTCCTGACTTTCATCTAGTAGGAGCTCATTGCATTGAGTATGCATTGCATTATTCCTCCTGTTTACTTCCTTAACCAAAACCCTGGGAGATAGATGGCTAAGGGACAACTGATTCAACTGAACTTCCATAAACTTGGATCTCCTCAATCTTTGTCCCACAATTAGTAGTACTGGTGATCAATATATAAGAAATGAATTGTTACTATGCTCATATCCTGCTTAGAAACCTGGATTAAAAGCACCTTTACTTGGATTCCTTGCAGCTGTTACTGTCACTGAAATATAGGGAAAGAATGGAGGGGGGGGGAAACTTTCAGGAAAGTCAGAATATTCCTATGATTATTCCAATTCAAGAAATCAAAAAGGATTGTGACCATCTGGACACACAATTAGCATTCTGTCTTGGTTGTGCTGCAATGGGGGAGGCAGATAAACCCTGTCTATACAATCAGGACAGGGTTAGTGAGCATCCAGCAGATTCAAGGGCAGCAAATGAGCTCTTCTAATCGCAAACAACTCATTAGAGACAGGCACCAGCAACAGAATGTCTTTCCGCGCTTCGCCCTCATACATCAAAACCATCTTAGCAGAGAAATGGCCATTCTTCCTTTCTCTCTCATCAACATGTGACATCCAGAAAATGTACAGCTACGAATGCGGGGGGGGGGGGGCAACATTTCCTATGCATCTAGATTTAAAATCTATTTCCTAGGACTGAAAATGGAAAGAATTGAATAATTCAGTTCAAATTATGATTATTCTCTCCTTCTTTACGATACAAAACAGAGGGAAAATTTGGTATTTTTCAATAATGTCTTTTAATACGTAAAAGCACTATTCTCTAGGAAGGTTTGTCTCTTTATAAGCATTACAACTCAAATATTGAATATTCTCATGTTTGTATGTGTGTGTGAGAGAGAGAGAGAAAGCGGGGAGGGAGGGGAGCACATTTGTTAGTTTGACACATATTTTACTGATAACTTCTTGACAGAATTGTACTGGCAGTAACGGCACTTAATTTTTAGTAATATCCTTAAGATTGCATTATTCCTTATTTTCAGAAAAGGCAACATTGGTTTCAGTAGAACTTACTTTCAGCTGGATAGTAAATAAGTTGCAAAGTTTTAGACATTTACAGGGAAATTCCCAACGTGTCCTTCCAACCAGAGTTATTTGGATATTCCACAAACATTTTAATTCACAATTTGGAAGCAAATGCTGTTGGAATGTATGACCTTTTTTTTTTTAATGCAGCCTATGCCGCACTATGCAGACTGCAGTAAAACTATCTTCTACATTCTACATACACAGAGGTTTGATACTGACAGATGGTGGAGAAATAAACTACCACAATTTTTTAAAAAAAAAATAAGCAGCAGCTGGAATGTTTTTCTTTTCTCTTTCTAACACTTTTGTAGATTTTAAGGTGAAGTACACCACAAGTTTAAATATTCCCCATTCACACCTCATATTTGCCTGTAAAGGGGATAATTAGGGAGTCTTTAGTGCTTTCTGAGCTTAGTTATTTGCTTGCAGATGTTTCAATACCCAACTAGGTAATACCGATTGGGTAATTCCTATTTGCTTTGATCCTGACCAGTTCTGGAATCTCCTTGAAAGCTCCTCAGATCTGCCCCTTGTCTCTCGTCAGTCGCCAATTGCGTGCCTTTGCCCTTAGCAAAGACTAAGGATCCCCAAGATCAAGTGTGTGATTTTTTTCTTCATTTCCCTGATTCAAATCATCACCATCTGCGGTAGAGTTTCCCTCCAGAACAAAACCCCTTCCCTAAATACTACAGTACTAAGCGGAATTAGGGACCCACAATCTCCTCCGCATCAAGAGAGAGACGGGGGGAGGGAGAGAGAGAGGGAAAGAGAGAGGGAGAGAGAGGGGGGGGGGGGATTTGAGGGATTGGACCGCTCTTGCCAGCGAGCGGTTTCTGCTCCGCTGCGCCCTCCAATTCCAATTCAAACCCAATTCCTCTTTGAGGAAAGAGGATCGAAAAGAGGATCGATCGAAGTAAGCTCTGCCTATTTTGCCAGGTCGCTCAGCATCCAGGGAAGCGGGAAAAGACTATTCGCGTGTTTTTTGAGGGGAAGGGAGGGAATCATTTGTTTGTAAAGGTGTCTCACTCCTCGCCTTCCCCCTGTTAAATTACACCCACCTCCTCCCTTACTAATTTCAATCTAACCCGGCCTAGCTCTTGGGGGAAGTTTTGCCCCCTTGCTGGCGTTCAGAGGACTCAACGGTCCGCTTTCCCGTCGGCAGTTTCTCGAGGGGGCAACAAAAATCTATGGAGACTCCGGGACAGCGAAAAGGCGAACGCCTTCAAATCGGGGGCCCCTTTATGGCAGGCAGGGTTCTGCCCCGAGGGCTGGGGGGGGTCTCTCTCTCTGGCCACGTGCCAAGCGCGTTCCACTTTCTAGCGACACGGCAGCCCTAATAAGGCACCGAAGGCCCACGCGGGACTCTATAAAGCTTAGCCCCCGGCAAGAACTTGCTTTGAAGGCGCCAGTTCAGATCGGAGACCTGCAGCTCGGTACTAAAATAGACCGGTTGCACAGGCCGGGCTGAAGCCCAAACCTTGAACAACTAAAATTATAATCCTAAACGTAAAATATAATTCTAAACAAAAAAGGAAAGAAATGGCAAGTGGGTGCAAACACACACACAACCTCAATCAAACCAGAGACCTCGCTGAGACGGGGACCGCAGCCCTTCAGTACAAACCCACCCCTGACCCCCACAGGGTCTCACTCACCCAAGGCTGCCAACCGGCCGACTTCCCTGCAACCTGCAGGGCTCGACAGAGCGGGTGATCGGGTGAGACCCGCGACCCACCGCCCTCCCTTCCCCCGCGCAGAAGATCCGCTCCGCACAGCAAAGGCGAACCGGTAGGGCGCCAGATCCGGGACCCGCCGGGGCAGCTTAAAGGGGCTTGGCCGGGCCGCGGTAACTCACCGACGCACTCGTTGGCTTCGCGGGCGGTGGCCCTCTGCCAAGGCCTGTCGTAGTGGAAAGGCTTGCAGCGGTCGCACTCGGGCCCGGCGGTGTTGTGCTTGCAGTCGCAGACCAGGTGGTCGTCGCGGTCGCGGACGCAGCGGGAGGCGTGCCCGTTGCACTTGCAGCGGCCGCCCACCTGGAGGTCGGAGACGGCGTAGTAGTAGGAGTCGCGGGCCAGCTCGGAGTCGTCCTCGTTCTCGTCGCCGAAGGTGTGGAGGCGGCTGAAGACCACCTTGATGTCGGTGGCCGTGACCCAGTCCTGCAGGACGGGCGAGTTGTCGAAGTCGTGGGCGGAGGGCCTGCCGTCGAGGGTGCTGAAGGCGATGAGGCCGCCGCTCAGGGGCCGCATGTCGGTGTGGGAGTCGGTGCAGATGGCCTCCTGCTCGTTTTGTTTGGTGATGGCGGCGCGGCTGGGCTTGTTGTACATCTTGCGGCACTGGGTGGAGTAGAACTGGAAGGGCACCCAGCTCTTGCCGCCGTCCATGGACTTGGCGATGGCCATGGACTCCGGGCGCGGCGAGCAGAACTGCAGGCTGACGTAGGTCACCTCGAACTTCTTGCCCAGCGCCAACACCAGCGTCACGTTGAGCGGGTGCTGCACGAAGCTCTCCGACTGCCAGCAGGTCAGGTTGTGCGGGTTGTTGAGGTCGGTCAAGTAGGAGGCCGGGTGGGCCCGCTTGGGGTCGGCGGCGTCGCACAGGTGGCAGCTGCGGCTCCGCTCCTCGCCCTTCTCGGCCAGCACGCAGTAGCGCGCCTGGGGGCGGCCGCAGGTGCTCGACACCTTGACCTCCTTGCCGAAGGCGGCGTTGACGAAGTCCGGGATGCAGCGCCTCGGCTGCCCGTTCTCGTCGTAGCAGGGATCCGGCTGCGGGGCCGTCTGCACGGCGAACATGTTCAAGCCGTAGCCGCCGCGCACCCCCTCGGCCAGGCAGGCCACCGCCGCCAGGGCCACCAGGGCCTCCCAGCCTGCCGGGGACATCCTGCCTGCCTGCCTGCCTGGTGGGCGCTGAGGGAAGGGAGCCTGTGGAGAGAAAGGAGAGAGCGCGGGTCAGCTCTCGGAGCGCTTGGACACCTCCCTTCCCTCCACCCCCCCTCCGGGGCCTGCCTTGGCAGCCTCGGCTCTGACCGGCCAAGAGAACACGCGTGTTTTGGGGCGCAGACCTCCCGGTTGTCCCAGCGACCCGCTGAGCCGTAAGTGGAGGACTGCTGGGGCTCGTCCCGGGTTGTGGGGGGCGGGGGGGGAGAGAAAAGAAGGTGTAACCCTGCTCGCGAGCGGAAAAGGAGCCTCAAGGGAGAAGAGCGGCCCAGCGAGTCGGGGGGGAGCCGCTTGAGTGACAGATGCCACAGTCCGCCTCAGTTGAAAAGGCCGCTTTGGGAACGTAAGGCCCACCAGTCACGCGGGGCTCTCTCTCTGCTAAGTCGTCCCCCCCCCACCCACATACACACATACGGGTCCCCCCCCCCAGGACCGGATTTTCCTATAGGCTAACTAGGCTTCAGCCTAGGGCCTCAAGATCAAGAGGGGCCTACATTCAAATTGTAAGCAAAATTAAAATTACACTTTCACTATAGGTGAAAGGGCCTCATAAGTGGAATAGCCTAGGGCCTCTTTTCATCTAAATCCGGCCCTGCCCCCCCCCTTTGTGCCAAGTCAGCGTCAGCCTGCCCCGCTTCGCAGTGGGATTCCGAACCTAGTTGCGCCGTTTGCTAAGCCAGACTTGGATGGGCTCGCACAAACTAGCCCCAATCTGTATTGGGGTTCAGGGCACGGGGGAACCTAGCCCATGAGTTCAGGGCAACGGCTTGGAAATCTTTTCACATTTAAGAGCCGCTCTTGCCCTCTGTCATAAGGCGATACACACACACGCACATAAATTAAAGCGGAGGGGACCTTTGAAGGACTCCAAAGGGCACCCAAACAACAGCAATTTTTGCCCGCTGGAGATTTATTTCCACGGATCACCTTGGGCCTCCTTTTTGTAGCTAGCTGCTCTCTCAGGAGAATAAGACAAGTAAGACAACCCTGTCGACCTACCGCGGAAGCTTAACTCCTCCACCCTCCTGACTTTCAAGGGAATATGAGCCCATTCCCCCTTGCGCGGAAATCTCCCCAGGGCACCAGGTAAAGCGCACTCATTCTCCCAGCTTTTCCCTCGCGCAATCGGTTGTGATAGGGCAGACGGGTGAGCTTTTGTAGTTACAAAATCCCTGTCAGGGAGATTAAAAGTTCGAATGGAGCGAACCGACAGAAGGCTTTCACTACTGTTGGCTCGAAAATACCATCTGGAGGACTCCAAGGGCCTTGGCTCTTAGCTTGTCCAGCACCCTTGGGCTTAGACCCAATCAATGCTTATGAGGGGGTCTCTTTTCGTTTACCTTCACTTTCCGAGAATGTCGCCCCGAAGAGCTTGCTTTTGGAATCGAGTCCCCTGTGAGGACCGACTGATCCCCCAAGATCACAGCAATGTAGGAAGCTGCGCAGCCGAAGTTGGTAGTTTTCTTTACCTAGACACCCAACCACAAATGCTCCAGTCACACTTAAACCTGGCGGAGGGGAGAGGATGGGGACCACTCAGAGCTTCGGTGTGTCGCAACTACCCAGGCAGTTGGGTAGCGTTAAGTGAAGCAAGGTTCCATTATCCAAGGATCAGCGAGCCTCGTGGGTTCGCCTATCTCGCTAAGTCAAAATGTGATTTGGGTAGCCCAGGACTTAACACTACTTGTGAACCAAGGCCTTAAAACACGTTAGGCCAATAGTAGTTAACATCTAGAGGCTTAACACACTGGAGAAACCCTTTCCTCGTGAGTAATCGGAACGTTTTCTTAGCGGAGCGCTTGGGATATTGCACTGCACGAGAGAAAGCCGTTTCTCTTTCCCCAAAAGGGTTTCCTGGTGCTTCCCTCCGGCAAAGAAATGGCCTTAAGGTCGCAGCCTGAGCGTGCACAAAGCCTTCTGCTGGGAATTGGTCCCGAGGTGGTGCAAGCAGTCAACGAATACAAAGGCTGGGCCGGTGAAGCGGCAATTACCTGCCACCCAGATCTATCGCCGACGGAAGAAAGGCAAGGATGGGGCGGGGAAGCTAAATCTCAGCCGCCGCCGCCCCGCACGATCAATCAATTCAGTCCAGACTCCCGAACCCTACTAGTTAAACAAGCGCCGGTCCAAAGCCCATTTGGGAAGTGGGTTTGGCTTCCCAATGCAGATCCAAGCAGGGGAGAGCCCTGAAAGGTTGGGGAAAAGGTCTCTGCGCGCCCAACATGGAGACATTTGCGAGACTGGCGGCTGTCCCGCGGGGAACCGTTGCCAGCTGGACCGTTTGGTGGCCCTCTTGTTGCTTCTTCGGCCTCAGCCGGAGAAAGAGCCCGCGCGGCTAGAGATGCGCCGGAGAAGTTGGGAGGCGGCGAGAAGTTCTCGTCCGTCTTTTGGCAGGAAGCGTCGGTCCCGCCTCGGTCGGGCAGCCAGACTCTCGCTCTCTTCAGGTAGCGGTCAGCTGGCCTTCCCACCCCGGAGCCCGCCCTTAGCTGCCCCCGAGAGCAAAGGGGGCGCCCGGGCTGCTGCCTGCGGGACAGCTCCCTCCCTCCCTCCGGCCGGCCTGCCTGCCTGCCTGCCTGCCTCTCGGACTCCTTCCCGAGCTACCTTGCCTGCAGCTGGTCGTTCGCTTCCTCGGCGGTGGCGCGGGCAGCCGCAGCTCCAGGCGAGCTGGAGACACTCAGGGGTCTCGATCGGTGCCCATCGTGCTGTCCCAGCGAGCGGCCGGGCTCCGCGGATGTCGGGAGCGTGTGAGGCGGCAAACGCGGGCCGAAGTTGAGGTCATCCCGGAGGAGTGACACCCCGTGGGCTCGCGCGGGGGAAGAGAAAACGACATCCACTGGCGGGATGGCAGCTCTCGCGACGGACGGGGGAGGGGAGCGGTGTGTGCCGGAGGGGGGGGGGGGGGGGGAGCGGGAGGGGGGGGGCCCGGGACTCGTGCGCTTGGGGAAGGGGGGGGGGGGGGGGGGGGGGGGGGGGGGGAGGCGGAGCCGGAGTGGCCCAACGGGGCAGGATCAGGCTTGGCCTTGGAGACTTCCTCATCAACACCCATCTCAACTGGGCGAGATAGAGAAGATCCCCTCGAAAAAGCCAGGTGTGAAAAAAAAAGAGAAAGAGTGGCTGATGTCCCTCATCTTAGCACAGCAGAAAAGCCACGCTTTTGCTTTATGGCAAAGAATCTCCATCCCCCTCATCCTACTTAAACCGGAGTTTCTTTCGGACCCAGGGCCGAAACGTTCTGGAGCTTCAAAAAGAGAGAGAGAGAGAGAGAGAGAGAGAAAGAGAGAGAGAGGGAGAGAGAGAGAGACTGGACAACCATTTGTCTGGAATGGGATAGGGTCTCCTGCTTGAGCCAGGGGGTTCGACTAGAAGACCTCCAAGGTCCCCTCCAACTCTGTTATTCTGTTGTGTTCTGCGGCTCAAAGAGCCTGTAGTACAGCGGACTAAAGCACTGTTATTAACAGATTAATTTCTGCTGCTTGCAATTACTGCAAGTTCAAAGCTCACCAGGCTCAAGGTTGACTCAGCCTTCCATCCTTTCAAAGGTAGGTGAAATGAGGACCCAGATTGTGGGGGCAATAAGCTGACTTTGTATAACGCATTGTAAGCCGCCCTGAGTCTCCGAAGAAGGGCGGCATATAAATTAAAGCAAAAAAATAATAATGGAGAAATTGGCTGGCAAGAGGCTAAAATAAGCGGTGAAGGAGCGGCAGTTCAGTCGAAGCTGGGTGCTGCTGATCTATAGTGTTTGCTCCTGTCAGAGCATCTGGAATTGGGGGGGGGGACTCTTTTGGAAGATCTTCGACCCTCACGGGGCTACGCAGACGGGGGGGGGGGAATCCACGCCCCTCCCTCGCTGTTCACTCCCTCGCGGGCACAAAAGATTCACTTCTCTCCCTTATCGGCGGTCGTGCACACATACCTAAAGTCTTAACCTTTTTGTCTCAAATCAGTGCTGCCAAATTTCCATCCCGGCACGAAATATTTAATGAAAGACTCGGCGAAACGAAACATGCTGTTACCAGCCTGCGGCTTTATCTCCAAGTATATTAAACTTGTGCTGCTTAACACAAAACTCTGGACCTGGGATTCAAGGTTGTCTGTGCAAGCTAAGTAGAAATCGGAGAACTTTTTCCTCCAGCTGGTGATCTTTCTTCCCTCTTTCAATATTTAAAACAGCTTTTCAAGCCTTGAAAATTGCTGGCACGTGTTGACCTTTGAAAACGGGACTCCTGTTGTAATGATGTAGCTGATGTGCATTTAATTCTATGGGAACAATGCAATACGGCTCTTCTTGCCTTGGCTCACCTGTGTGCCATGGTTGACTTCATAGTTTCATAGAGTCCCTATTCTTGCTAACATGACACCTGAATTTTAAAACCAGGGAATGGGTTCTTTTTGGAGAGAGGGAGAAAGAGGGGGGGAGGGAGGGACGGAGGGACGGAGGGAGAGAGGAGAGAGAGAGGCAGACAGGCAGTGGGCATGTATATTGTGCATATTTGTGATGTCTGGATAAAAAAAAACCCTGAGCTTTAATTTTTTTGGAAGAAAAGTAGGTTTGGAGACTGTTCCCCATAGCCAATGAATTCAGGATTTATGACTTTTGGTCAAGAAGAAAATCTTGCAACTTCTATTGTACATGAAGTGACATCATGAGAAAAATATATATTTAAATGCCTAGAGGCACTTTTTAATATTGCCACATCGTATTTTTTTATATATATATAGAAATGTTGGGTTGACCATAGATGGGAGAGGCTATGAAACTTAATTCCTGACTCCTGCAGGAATTCCCCTTTACACTAAAATGGTAATGTATAGAACACCAAGCGAATGCTATTCCCTTGAGGCTTATGGAACAATTGTTTCCACAAGTTTGCAAACCAGTTCAAGCTCTACACAATGTTTGACTCAGGCTCTGGAAGTAACATTTAGACTTTTAGTAATGCACTTCCCACTTGCATTCAAGTCCTTTTTTTGGACCTAGATTT